AAATAAATAAAATCAAAAATTTTCTTTTATTTTAAAACTTGCGGAAAAACTTATCCTTACAATCCATATGAAAACTTGTTGTTATCTATTCCTAAGCAATACTCATAACTCCTAAGAAGTAGCTCAAGAATCCGATCTTCAAACTACGCGATAGAAATCCATCTATGCGATCAGATTCAGCATATTCTTTCTTTAAGTTCCTTCACTTTTCTTTGATTCTTAAAACATCATGTGACCCAGTCACATCATGTATAAGAATCTCAGAATAGAAACTTAACAGAGTTAGATTAGTGGACTTTACCTGAAGTAGAGTCAACTTATTGACTTTAACATCCTTAGGTAAATTTGGCAGCTTCGCAACTAATGACCCTTCCTTTGGCAATATAAACATATGGACCCTTTGATAATGGTACACGGGACTATTACAGACTTAGCCTTTTCTCTTTACCATTTGGTCAACCTAGTTGACTATGGTTAATCCCTTTCCTTGGGAAGAGAATGCTTTTTCTGTATTTCCAGTGTCACCATTGTCAATGTCCATAAAGTTTCAGGAAGTTGATCTTAGCAAATAGATAAGATCATTAAGGGTCTTGTCATAGTCTGTTTCATAGGTGTTCCAAAAGAACTCACTATGTGACTTAGAAAGTAGTTGAACCACCAACTTTCTCAAGACTTTGACACCCAACTCTCCCGGCTTGTCAATATGTGACTACATCTCCAAGATGTGATCACACCTAGACCTTGCCTTGCCAATAGGGCTTGAGTGACCTTAAACTTTTCAAGAACTTGTGGGTAGGGAGAATAATTGGAGGAGGTGAAAGAAGTATGATTTCCATGGACATCATCTTCATTTAGGAAAGCTTGTTTCAAGAGATTTGGGAAGATCATAAATGTCTAAACCAGACATGTTTTGGGAGATATTCAAGATAGTTGATCTTAAAGTCCTTAATATGACACCCAATATGAAATATTAAGGCTAGGACCCAACAAACTATTTTATAACTTAGAAGAGGTATGCCGTAATCCAAGCTATAAAATATTTGAAGGTAGGTGAATGACGATTCACCAATTTCCACCAAGATAAACGAAATGTATTATTAGGTTTTAATTGGTTTTGAAACTCCTAGATCTTTTGAGATTCATTGAACTGTTCAATGGCATGTTTCAATCTCGAGTGTGCCCTTCAGGTTTTGTGACTGGGATGCCGAGGATCACAAAACAAGGTGTGAAGTAACCATGCAAATTACTTGGTACCCTTAAGTGTTTATCCCTCAATCGATGTGCCGGTTAACCACACACGCTCCATCGATACTATGATAAACATTAAGTTACCCTTTGCCTACCTTGTTAAATACGAGTTAGTGTGCCGGTTAACCACACACGCTCCACTAACCGACTTAAACAAAGTGCAAAGTGTAATTTCATGGATTAGCACCTTCTTCACATTTTCCTAAGTAACTAAGATTGGGTATTTATAAGAGTTTAGTTACTTAATATTTATCATTAATACTTTTAATGAAAGGAGAATTATAGTCCTGTCAAACCCGTTCGGCTAACGACCCTCCACCAGTCAAGCAAGCGGTGGGTGAGAGTGGACACCCATTAAGTTGCCATTTTATAGGCAACAACCTTATACCCACCTTATAGACCGGCTTCGTGAATGAGGCGTACTAGCGATAAGACTGACTTTCCTCTTATACATACATATATATATATATATATATATATATATATATATATTAACTTATAATATTATAACGTATAAGGGTTGAATTTTAACTCTTAAAATTCTAAGGGCTAACTTGGAATTAAAGTATTCATAAGAGAAAACTTTACAAATTCCAAAACTTGAGGGCAAGTTTTGAAACTATTCAAAACTAATTAATTCCATAACTTATGTGTTTAAAGTAGTTTTAATCCAAAAACTCTTCAAGTTCCATAGTTTATGGAAGACTTTAAACTAATAAAAGAATTAATTTTTCTTTATTTTTATAACTTATGGAATTAATTAAGGTTACATTATTTATTTTTTTATTTATTTAATGAAGAGACTCTTGGTCCTCCATAACTTGAGGACAAATTATGGAGTCATAACTCCAATTAATTAGAACTAGACTCTTCATTTTTTGTAACCTTTGCCAATTTTATGAGTTTTATGAGTCTTTAATGTGACTCTTCATGTAACTTGAGGACAAGTTACACAAACACATTTTATACTCAACTCTTAGATTAAAATGGATTGAAAACAACTATTTCAATTAACTTTTCTATTAATCTAAGCAACTCATAAGAACAAGATAATTCAAATCAAACTTTTTCATGTAATTAGTCTAACCTTTAAACTAATACAAAACATGAATCTATTGACAATTATCTTTGAAAATGGATTAGCATGAACATTACCACATTAAAAAACAAGTTTATAAGTTCAAAAACAACTTAGGGTAATGTTCCTAGTCCATTTCTAGCCAAAAACCTCGAAAATATGCTGTCTGGGGTCCAACTCGTCGAGTGCATGAACATAACTCGGCGAGTTGGATGCATTTTGCCTTGGACTCGTCGAGTCCCTTCATGGACTCGGCGAGTCTGCTGGGCTGACAGCACCAATTTCGATTTTTCAGCTTCTATTGCAGGTATAACAAGAAAAAAGCCTAGGCTCTGATACCACTGTTGGGTTATGAGCATTCTAACACTCCTAAGTGTACATGCAACCCTAAATACCTTGGATCTATGTTTTCTCTATTATACATGCAAATATGAATATCCAAGGTATTATCCTAAACTAGCATACAAAACTATCAATATAACAAGATAGAATACATACCTCTTTGATGGTGCTTGTCTTCATGAAGCTTGAGTGCCTAGTGCCCCAAGTGTGACACCTCAAATGGTTCACAATCATCAAAACACTTAGAATAACTTAGAGAGAATTCTACACTTCATGAAATCGGCTAGCCCTCTTCAAGAATAATACTAGTCTCTCTAGTGGCCGATTTTCCTCAAGAATAAGATGCTTATATAGTTATACAATTAGGGTAAACCCTAATTGTCATGACTTTCCATTTCCTTGGATCCATGGGTTCAAATACACCATGGAGCATCATATGGGTTTTGGCCCAACTAGATAATCCATGGAGCATTAGCCCACTATACAAGTATGGATGATTTACACAATCAACCCATATATTTAATTAGTCTTCTTTTGATCACTCAATTAATCCTAGATTAATTCTTGATCAATACTAATTAAATAATCTCATTATTCTTATTATTAATATACTAGAACTTATAATATATTAATAACCATAAGTGTCTTATTTCTCTCATTTAGTCTATCCAAGTGCATGATGGTATGCAACACAAATGGACCATGCCGGGTCGGGTCAAGTCTTACCAATTATAGTTATGGACTTAGACATTAATCCAACACAAACATCATCATATTATAAGGTTCGACCATACAATCTCCCCCAATATGATGATGTTCAAAACAACAACTATTCAAGAACACCTCTGGACAAAAATTCTTCATACTCAGCTTCAGCTTCTATTTTTACAGGCCAGTAAGGACTATCCAGCAGCTCCTGTCTTCTATTCAGCAGCTCCATAGCAATTAGTATGTGAAACTCTCCAGATAGATCTTGATGACTCATGCACATTTGTCTTAGGCCAACAAGATGTGCTGTTGTAGCTCTTGGAATTTCTGTGGTGCGCTGAAAGCACATTCTTCTGTTTTTATCGAGATAAAACATTCCATGTTCAGGAACAGAGATGAACTTATGTTGAACCAACTCAAAACCGATAGGAAGAGAGTTTTTTATTCCTTCAGCACCAAAATTTAGAACCAACACATCTTCACTATCAACTTGAAACCTGGTCCTTCTGATTCTAGGAACTTAGGAACTTTGGCCTTCCTGCTGAGAGTGTTTCACGGGAACAAGATCCAGACACTGAACTTTCTTGATCAGTAGATGGAGAGCATATGTCAGTTCTGAAGAAAGAGATGAAGTCTTCTTGGATGCTAATTCGAGCAATTCCATCCATTCAGAATACCCGTATCTGATCAGCTCATCCCTCTTGACAACTTCAGTGTATGGATGTTGAGGACCTTGACGAGTGATCAGCAATGTAATAATTTTCTCGTTACGAGGTTTAGAAGCTTTAACTTTCATGATCTTATCACTGCTCACTCGTCGTTTAAGAACATCTTGAAACCTATTTCGATCAATCCTGTCTAGAACATTTTCAGTCATTGACTTGCTGCTACTGGGAGGAGGCTGGGAAGATTTGGATTTGGACTGATATTCCAAGAACCTCTGCAACTGAGCTTCAAAGGATTCTTTGGCCTGAAGTTGATGCTGAATGAGAGATTCATCAGCTTGAGCAATATTCTTTAGAAGCTGAGCTTGATTGGCTTCATCAAGAATTTGGTTAACTTGATCAGGAGACATATTCCATTCAGCTACCAAGTTGGATATGCTGACGATGGACTTAGGTTTCTTGCTAGGCAGAGAAGTATCAGTGTCTGAAGAAGCCAATTCAGTATTTTCTGCCTTGCGCTTGCGAGATAGAGGTTGAGTATCCTCACTAGCTACATCTGAATCTTCTCCTTGGACTGACATAATAGGATCAATGAATTTCATATCTAGCATTTGACATTCATCATCATGTTCATCTTCATTATCCTCTGAGGCTTCTCCTTTATCTGGAATAGTGGGATTAATGAAGTTCATGTCCAGCATCTGACACTCATCATCATGCTCACTATCTTCAGCAATCTGTTCAGTATCTGCAGGTCTATCTGACTTGTCAGCAGCTGGTCTATCAGACTCATGCATCGGTTGTGGTGGCTCAGTTTGGACTAAAGTGTTGTCCGCAGATTAAAGATCAACAGATTCAGTGTCTCCCTCGTTTTGATCATCATCAGTTTCTCCCCCCTTTTGATCATCATCATGTTGTGGTCCAGGGGAAGGAGTTGGCAAGAGAATACCTTTTAGCTGCTAGACATCAGCCTCAATTCGTAGAAGACGTTGACTCATGTCCCGAGTTAGTGTCAGAAGCTCATTAAATGTTGAGGCCGGTATGCAAAGAAATGAAGTACCTGGAACTTCTGGTGAGCGAGGTTGCTCCCCAGAGAATGGTTCTCCCCTTGGGATGGTTGCTCCCCCTAAGATGGTGGCTCCTCTGGAATGGTTGCTCCCCCTGAAATAATGGCTCCCCTTGAGCTGAGTGACCTCTCTCAGTGTCAGAGAGAGTATGATGAGAGAGTTGAGGGAGAGATGGCCACCATTCTGTGATTCAGCTTCTTGATCGGCATGATCTTCGTTGTTATCATCAACTCCTTCATCAGTACCAGCGGTGAGTGAAGGAACAATATATGGATTTGCGATCCATTCTCTCATCCGATCAGAGATGCTGATATCGGTGTCCAATGGATCATCCTGATACATTCGCACTGACATGTGAGGGCATTGGATGGGGTTCCCAGAATGTGAATAGTAAGCTTCAGCGAAAAATTTATGTAGCACAAGAGCAATCCAGCGTGGAAAGGGGACATGATCAGCGCATACATTTGCACGAAGAAGTTGGACAAGCTGATCAAAGAAGAAAGCCCCATAATCAAGGCGTTTGTTGAGAAGAAGGGAACAGACGACTTGTTGTTCATACATGCTTAGTTGATCACCACTGCGAGATTTGTGACCCACACACTTACACAGAGCACCGGTGAAGAACTTCCATCCTAGAGTCATGCAGTGATGCAGAATGAGAGCTGATCGAGTACCAGCCTTAGAGTGATCGTATCCCAGTTGATCAAAGATACGTCTACAGCGTTCAATAGATGGAAGCTCTGAGAATGGTTCAAAAATTGGTAACCTGAGCGCAGCACTGAGGAGGTCAGCGGTAATGAAGACTGAGTGTCTTCCATGGCCAATAGTCCCGGAGATGGCGTTGTTTTCATCATTAATTGTTGCAGTGTAGTAGAATTCACAAACTTGTTCGGGAAAGAACTCTGATGGAACGTCACTGATTGCGTATCGGAGTCGGCAGGAAGCTAAGAAATTAACAAAATCATCAAGTCCAAGACCATGATGAACTTCTGGAATATCAGGGTTGAAAACTACGTTGGTGGCTTTGATGTATATGGGAAGAGGAGGTGAGTTTGGAGCTGGAACAACTCTTCTTGAGGTGGAGGAGAAGGTGAATAGTGATGCCGCCATTGAAGAGGTTTAGGATTCTAAGGTTTTTTTTTTGTTTTAAGAGTGAGAGAAGATTGGAGGAAGGTAAAAAGGTTTGGAGAAAAGTTAAAAGGTTTAAATAAGGAATGCAACGGTAAAAAAAGGTAATGATTATCTTCATCGAAAAATAACTACATATCTTGACAAACTGTCAAATCAAAAAATAGTCGTTGGGTAAATATAGTCGTTGTACCGAAGAGGAAACTACAATCAGTGACTGCGGAAGCGCTGAGATTGTTATCACTGAGAGGTACATGCTGAAAGATAGTTTTTCGTCAATTCAAGGTATAACCTGCTTGTGTTGGGTTAGTAAGGTGATTGGTGCGTGTGATAGATACTAGTTTAATTATCTAACCATCGGCACAGACTATCGAGTCTTTATCAGTGAGTGGTATTTCTTACTGAATCATTAGAGACTAAGTGAGAAGAAGGTAAAGAGAGGATTGTTGTGTGTGATAGATCTTGGTGTTTTTGGTCTAACCATCGGCAAAGACTGTTAGATTCTCATCAGCGTGTGTTTTGTCACACCGAATCACAGAATCAGTGTAAGATTGGTAAGAAGGGATAGTTGCGTGTGATAGACCTTGGTGTTTTGTCTAACCATCGGCAAAGACTGTTAGATTCTCATCGGTATGTGTTTTGTCACACCGAATCACAGAATCAGTGTAAGATTGGTAAGAAGGGATAGTTGCGTGTGATAGAACTTGGTATTTTGTATAACCATCGGCAAAGAGTTTCAAGTTGTTATTAGTGTATGGTTTAATACAGTGAATCATTCAACTTTAGTTTAGAAGATTTGTAGAAGAGAAAGAGATAAGAGATCATACAGTGTACTCAGCATGCTAAACATCATCAGCGCATCATCATCAGTACAAAAAAACATTAGTGTACAAGACAATAACAAACATTAGTAAAACAATTTTTCAATCGAGAGTGATCATTCCAAGTTCGCCAATGATGTGAGCATTAGTTTGAGTATCCCGGGCCTTAGTGAAAATAACAGCTAGTTGATCGGAAGTCTTGACATGCTGTAAAACAACCTTGCCCTTCTCAACATTGTCTCTGATGAAGTGATGTCTGATCTCTATATGCTTTGTCTTTGAGTGCTGAACCGGATTCTGTGTGATCTGAATGGCACTGGTATTGTCACAGAATATCGGAGTCTTTGTGAATTTAATCTCATAGTCTAAAAGTTGATTTTGAATCCATAGAATTTGAGCACAACATCTTCCAGCGGCAACATATACAGCTTCTGCAGTGGAGATAGCTACTGAGGTTTGTTTCTTGCTGGACCAGCTGATTAGTCGATTTCCAAGGAAATGACATCCACTTGACATGCTCTTCTTGTCTAAGTTGCAACCTGCATAGTTGGAATCAGTGTATCCAAAGAGTTCAAGCGCTGAGTCACGAGGGTACCACAGTGTCAGGTTCTGAGTGGCCTTTAACTATCGAAAGATGCGTTTGACTGCAATGAGATGAGACTCCTCGGGATTAGCTTGGAATCTAGCACAGAGAATGGTTCCAAACATGATATCAGGGCGACTTGCAGTGAGGTAAAGAAGAGATCCAATCATTCCTTGATAAAGAGAGTGATTAACATCAGCGCTAGTGGGATCAGCGTGTAGCTTATCAGTCTTGGACACCGGAGTAGAAGCTGGTTTGCAGTTGCTGAGAGAATACTTAACTAGCATGTCAGAAATGTATTTACTTTTTCAAATTGAAATACCTGATTTTTGTTGCTGAACCTCAAGACCTAATAAGAAAGTCATCTTCCCCATCATGCTCATTTCGAACATTTGACACATGATCTCAGTAAATTCTTTGCTCAGCTTCTCATTTGGAGATCCAAAGATGATGTCATCGACATAGATTTGAACAAGAATCAGTTCTGAGTCTTTCTGTTTGTTTGAAGAGAGTATTGTCAATTGCTCCTCTTATGTAGACATTTTCAAGAAGATATGATGTCAGTGTCTCATACCAGGCCCTGGGAGCTTGCTTCAGTCCATATACAGCTTTATCTAGTCGGTACACATAGTCCGGATGCTCTTTGTCTTCAAAGCCTGGGGCTGTTTGAGAAATACTTCTTCTTGTAACTCACCATCAATAAATGCCGTTTTAACATCCATTTGGTGGACAATGAAGTTCATGTATGAAGCGTATGCGAGAAACAGTCTGATTGCTTCAATGCGGGCAACCGAAGCAAAAGTCTCCCCGTAGTCGATGGATTCAATTTGAGTGAATCCCTGAGCAACAAGTCTTGCTTTGTTGCGAGTAATAATACCATCCTTATCAACCTTGTTGCGGTAGACCCAGCGTGTTCCGGTAATGGTCTTTCCCGATGGTCTGGGAACAAGGGTACAAACCTTGTGCCTTTCGAACTCGTTCAGCTCGTCTTGCATGGCTTTAATCCAGTCGGCGTCTTGAAGAGCTGTGTGAATCTTGTCAGGTAAAATCATTGAAACGAAATTAACATGCATGAAAAAATTATTAGATACACGAGATCTGGTTTGGACACCATCATGAAGATTCCCAATAATTTGATCAATAGGGTGATCTCGATGTCCAGAAGCTAATTCCACTGGATTTGACACTAAAATGTAATTGCTGAAGGGAACATCAGTTGCAGGAGAGTCTTCATTCTCAAGAGTTTCATCAGTTCATACAAATGAGTTGTCGAGCTGACTACAGTATCTTGATTCAAGGAATTTGGATCTGGAACGATATGATCAGGAATAGTAGCTTCTTCTTCAGTATGAGAAACTTCATCATATGGGCAAAAGAGAAGCTCTTGAAAAATAGAGGAAGAATGAGCTATTTTTTCATAAGTGTATGATTCCTCATCAAACTTCACATGAATGGATTCTTCAATGCACTGCCTGTTTACATGAAAAACACGAAAAGCTTTTGAAATAGATGAGTACCAACAAAAATACCTTTGTCAGCCTTAGGCTCAAATTTTGATCTTGGATCACGCTGATTAAGAATATAACAGATGCATCCAAACACGTGAAAGAAGGATACATCCGGCTTTCGACCTTTCAGCATCTCATATGGTGTCTTCTTGTGAATCTTGTTAATTAGAGATCGATTTTGAGTATAGCATGATGTATTAACAGCTTCAGCCAAAACGACATAGGAAGACAGCATGAATCATTAAGGTTCTTCCTGCCTCAATCAGTGTTCGATTTCTTCGTTCAGCAACTCCATTTTGCTGAGGTGTGCGAGGAGCTGAAAAGTTCTGCCAATGCCTGTATAATCACAAAATTCCTCAAGAGTTGAATTCCGGAACTCAGTGCCATGATCACTCCTCAACTGCTTAACTTTGAGACCAGTCAGTGTCTCATTTTTACGAATCAGCGAGATGATTTCCTGTGCAGCATGACTTTTCTTCTTCAAGAAAAACCACCCATGTAAATCGAGTAAACTCATCCACAACCACTAGAGTATACTTGTTCCCTCCTTGGGAACGAACAGGAATAGGTCCAAACAAGTCCATGTGTAATAAATGAAGAGGAGATGATATGGTGGAACATGACTTGGGTTTGAATGATGACTTGGTTTGTTTTCCTTGTTCACACGCTGAGCACATCTTGTCTTTGACAAAGCTGAGTTTTGGGAGACCTCTTACTAGATCTTGATTGGATATTTTGGATAGATTCTTAAATTCAAATGAGAGAACCTTTTGTGCCAAATCCAGCTAAGATTGGTTTGAGACTTTGTAAAGAAACATTGCATCTCACTTGAGAACATGTCAAGAACATATAGATCATCTTTTCTACTTGCTAAAAGTACGATGTTCTTGTCAGTGTTAACAACTCTTCCTTCCTTCTTTGTAAAGTGAGCTTCATAATCAGCATCACACAATTGGCTAATTGAGATAAGATTGTGTTTGAGACCCATTACATATGAAACGTTCTGAAATACCACGTTATTGCACTTGATATTTCCATATCCTTTAGTGAACCTTTTTCCATTGTCTCCGTATGTTACTGCAGGACCAGTTTTCTTGATATAGTCTTCCAGGAGAGACTTGGATCCTGTCATATGCCTTGAGCAACCACTATCTAAGTACCAAAGATGCTCCTGACCCTGCAGTGCTGAGAAACTAGTTAGAACACACTGACCCATTGGAAGATGGGTCATTCACAAAGTTATTTGATAATATATTATAGCATTCTTTAGGAAGACAGTTTAAAGAATTTGATTTAAGAGTCCATTTTTCATTTCTAACTTTGATGTTATCAACTCTTAATGATGCTTTATCAAACTTGCATTCACTGATTTTGTGAGTCGAGTCACAACCTGTAGCAAATTCTAGTACCAAATTTTTCTTGGTAAACACATTTCTAGATTTGACACATTTATATTTGAAGGATTCACCGAGAGAACTTTGAGTCCTTTTATTTAAGATTGAATTACTAAAGAATTCACTGTCAGAAGAACCATAATCAGTGATGGGTGAGGAGCTAATATCAGTATCAGATTTAGACTTATGTACTGAAACACTGCAATCAGGATATTGTTTAAGTTGTTCATGAACAGCATGAAACACTCCATTTAAGATAGGAAATGCAATAATATTTTCAGTGAGAGAAGTTGGTCTCACAAGATGTGCAGGATATGAAGTAGGATCAATTCCAGTAATTTCAATATTACACTCAGTAACACCATTAGAGTCAGTAACACAGTGTTCATCAATGAGAGACTGATTAATAAAGGTGTTGCTGTCAAATGTGTTTTTAAAACTATCTTTTAATTCATTCATGGAATAAAATTCAGATTCTTTTTCTTGAGATTTGAAAACGTTTTCAACTTCAGCAAAATTTCCCCCAAGGATTTTCTCACATGAATGAGGTATTTGAGCAGAAATAACATAATTAGCATTCTTGTGAGATTTAGGCTAAAGTTTTAAAACGGTTTTGTTCTTTATTCAAGAGGTCTTTAACTTTATCAATTTCTGCAGATAGTGATGAATTTGATAA